AGACACAGTGCTACTTCTGAAGAAGGAAGCCACTGGAGGATAGAAGGCATCACAACTAGATTTCTAACACACATATTAACATGGTTTCCTGAGCTGTGGGGGTGTCTTCTACTTGGAGTGGTTTCAGGGAGCAGAAATCTTTGAGGATCAGGATGGTAATGCAAATGCATACTGTGTTATCACAGGCAACTTAAGGATTAGAAGACAAAGCCCATTCAAGGGAGATGTGAAAAGCTATCAGCGGTGACAGTCGGGGAGAGTGGGCGTGTGCCACTCAGAGATTGTCTGTGGGAGAAGGAGCTGAGAATAGAGGCAAATGAGTGCGCTGCTCAAGAAGGGGATGGGACACATGAAGGACTCTTCTGTAGACCCAAATGGGTGAGGCCAACTGTGGAGAGGCAAGGGGAGCAAACTCCAGACAAAACAAAAACAAAAACAAAAACAAACAAACAAAAAAAAACAAACAAAAAGAGAAAAAGGGATAGGGAGAGAATATCCAATCACTTTACTCTAGGCTCCAGAGAAGGAGAGAAGGACTTCCCCAAGGGCACAGATCAGAAGCCAGAGAGCAAATGGAAAAAGTTGCTGAGTGAATGTATGACAGGGGATGAACACTCCGATATATCTGCTCACATATATGGCTTTGTTTCTCAAAGGCAGAACCACCCACAATCAATGTTGTTTATACAGAATGGCCCCAGAAAGATTCAATGAATATTTTATGTTTGATTGTTGCTAGGATTCTATGATGTCACCAAACAGTAGCATGCATGCTTTGTAGACTAAACCAGACAAGTGGGGGCAGTCCTCAAATCTGTCAGACTGGAATAGATGATCATCTAAAGACAAACCCAGATTTAGAATGCAATCTTGTTATGCCAGACCTCCAGAAAATCTCTGAAATATTTTGGTGATCTCAGGTTAATGTAACCTGCACTGTCTCAAACAATTGTACCTTAGAGACTTCCTTTTAAGGACTATGTACTTTAGTGTGCAGAAAGACTTAAATAGAATAAATGAATGGGATCATTGGCTGAAAGCTCTGTAAACTGCAGGTAAGGTATACACAGTCTCATGAGAGACAGAGGGAGAGAAGAGAGACAGAGAGAGACAGACAGACAGAGAGAGAGAGAGAGAGAGAGAAGAGAGAGAGAGAGAGAATTTTTAAGAGAAAAGATACATGTGTTCCACATGTGTATGGTGCTCTCTGCTTAGGTACAAATACTACAGGATGATGGAAGAAAGTTAAACCATCTGCTGATCTGACAACAAAAGCACTTAAGAGGATATTGCCATCTTCTGAAAAGATTTTGGATGGGGGGTCTTGTTTGTTTCATTTTGTTTTGTTTTGCAGAGTACAAATGGAACCCAGGGTTCTGCACGTCAGGTAAATGCTCTACCTCTAAGATTCAACTTTAAGTAATCCAGGTGGTTCCACTTTTAGGGACCTTCATTCAGATAGGCTGGGACCATGACTTATGCAGCAGAAAAAGTTCAGGATGACTAAAAACAAGTCTCCTCCCCTCTTATCCCCCCTCAACCCTTCCTGGGTATGAAGAAATCCAAATGGATGAAGGTGGTTCTGGGACTTTGGGGAGCCCGTGAGCTTAAGGCAGTTTTCTTCATTTCCTTGGCCTTCATTTTGCCACTGGGAGAACTTTCTAGGGAACCATATTTGGCCCTGAAAAACTCAGAGGAGCCAGAATGGATCCCAGAGGGGAGGAAGCAGAAACCGACAGCTTTGGAACTGAGGCTTCTGGAACAACTACAAACAGGACCGGCTTTCTTTAAAGATCACCCAAACAAAATCTTTAGAGAGAAAGCTCTGCAGCCATTCTGGGTGGAAGAACTGCCTTGGAAAGGGAGCTTGTGTCGTTGGCTTAAGTGTAGTGTCAGACTGGACACAGGATGTCACAGTTCAACACATACAACCCATCCACCTGGAGCTTAATTGGCCAAGAATTTTGATATTTCTCGATTACTGCATAGGTCTTGTTAGAACAAACAATATTGGGCCCAAGTAGATAGAGTTTTCCCATCATTTTATTTCATTGTTTATAAGACTAGATCCATGTTGCCCAGGCTATCCTTGAACTCATGATTCCCATACTTCAGGTCTCCTGAGTAACTGATATTATAGGTGTGCCAACATGCTTGGCTTTTTATTCTATGCTATTCTCTACTCCATTTTTATTGTTTTGAGAGAGGTTTCTCATTATATTGTCCAAATGGCGTTGATCTCAAAATCATCTTTCCGGGCCTCTCTAGTGGGCATTACAGGTGTGTGACAGTGAACCTGGATTATCAGTTCTTTTTCCTTGGTTACTGGGAATTGAACCTATGATCTTGCATATTAAAGCAACCAATCTAAGACTGAATTACATACCACCCTTTCAATTCAGTTTTTTTTTTGTTCTTTCCTTCCTTTCCTTCTTTTTTCTTTAAAAAAAGTCTCAAGAATCCCAGGCTGCTCTTGATCTAATTATGGAATGGAAGTTACTCTGAACTTCTGATCCTCCTGCCACCACCTCCCAGGTGCACCATGCCAACTTTATATAGTTTGGATGACCCAACACAGGGCTTATCGCATGTTAGGCAACCACTCTACCAACTAGCTGCATTCACAGCTTCAGTTCATTTTTTTGTTTCACTCTTGTGTCCTTTTTTCAATAGTAAAATAGAAGTTGCATGAATGCCATTTATTGCACAACACAAATAGCGCTGCAGAGAAAATGGAGCACATTGCTGAAGCTCTCTTGCTGGGGCCAGTTTGGTTAATATCACACATTGGCCCAGTGAGGGTTTTTGTTTTTTCCGAGATAGGGTTTCTCTGTGGCTTTGGAGGCTGTCCTGGGACTAGCTCTTGTAGACCAGGCTGGTCTCGCACTCACCGAGATCTGCCTGCTTCTGCCTCCCGAGTGCTGGGATTAAAGGCATGCACCACCACCGCTTAGTGGAGTTTTATCAGTTTTCTTATCATGCAGTTTGTGCTGAGCTGAGGACATAGCTCAGGGGTAGGGCACTTGTTTGGGGTTTGTGAGACCCTAGGTTCTATGCTTAGCACCAAAAACTGGTTCATGATTTGGCTTCACCTTTAAGCCGTTCTTTTTTTTTTTTTCCATCAGAGACAGGGTTTCTCTGTATAACAGCGTTGGCTGTACTGGAACTCGCTCTGTAGACCAGCCTGGCCTAGAAATCACAGAGATCCATCTGCCTCTGACACCTGAGTGCTGGGGTTAAACGTGGGCATCACCTCCGTCAGCTGTTTATCCTTTTGTTCTGTTGGAAACGTTTAAAATCTAAGCCACACCTTTAAACATCATTTTGTGTGTGTGTGTGTGTGTGTGTGTGTGTGTGTGTGTGTGTGTGTGTGTGTGATATGGGTGCATTGCAGGGATTGAACTCAGGTCATTCTTTACCCATTCAGATATTGGAAAATGCTTCAACCCTTAGCTGAGGGGCTACTGACTACTAGAGGAGGAAGAATCATTTTTTCTTTGGAGGCTCCCCATGCCTCAGTGGATGGCTCCACATCTGCACACATACAGGCAGTACTATTTCAGACACTGGATTAGAGAAAAAATGAGGTGAGGTTCAAAGTTGGAAGGGAAACATATCAAGGGATGTCCAGGAGGAGTTGAAGGATGGGTGGGGTACAGGGGATGGATATGGTCAAAATATGCTGGGTTCATTTTTAGACTTATTAAAGAGTTAAAAAATGCCCAGAAAAGAACCCTCAATTAATTCACAAGTGGGATATCTGGAAAAGATGAAAGAAAAATGCTTCAAAAATAAGGACACGCCTTTAATCCCAGCACTTGGGAGGCAGAGGCAGGCAGATCTCTATGAGCTCAAGGCCAGCCTGGTCTACAGAGTTCCAGGACAGCCTCCAAAGCTATACAGAGAAATCTGTTCTTTTTTAAATGGAGTGTGTTGGATGTCTCTACAATTTTGTTCAAAGGAATGCAGAACCTGGAAAAGCTGTTGCTGCTATTGATGCATAACATATTGCCATTATTGATATATATATCAAAACAATTTTAAAAAGATAAAAAATAAATCATTAAATATAAACAAATCTTTTCAGTGTTTTGTTTAAAAAGAAAACACTCAATTTATAGCAAGTGTTTCAGAACATATTATTTATGTTAATCTATTCACACCTGCCTCATTGCCATATATGTAAGTGTTTGCTGCTAGGGTGCAGACCTGACTCCATAAAGAATTCTTTTAATTTGTATCGACTTAATCTTTGTAATGCTACAGATTGAATCAAGGGCATAGTTCATTCCAGGCAAGCGCTCTACCACTGACTCACATACCCAGTTCTTTTTTTTCTTTTTGTTTTTCTGAGACAGGGTTTCTCTCTGTAGCTTTGGAGCCTATCCTGGCACTCACTCTGGAGACCAGGCTGGCCTTGAACTCACAGAGATCCTCCTGCCTCTGCCTCCTGAGTGCTGGGATTAAAGGCATGCACCACCAATGCCTGGCCACATACCCAGTTCTTTAAAGGGTGTTGTCATCAAAACATATTGTAGCCAATAGGAGAACAGGATACAGGCTACCATAGTTTCATTTCCAGTGCTACTGAAACTAGTTGGCTACTTCATTTTCTTTTTGCTCTTTCTGTGGTAATGGGAAGGCAAGCCAGGGTCTTGTGTACGCTCGGCAAGTACTCTGCCTGAGCTGTCTCCAGCCCTTTCTTATAGTATTTATTTATTTACTTACTTTTTAAATTTTGAAACAAGACACTGCCTTGTCCAGGCTGGCCTTGGACTTGCAACCCTTCTTCCCCAAGTCTCCAAAGCAGCTGGGATTACAGACCTGTATGACTAAGACCAGTTTTTAGTTTTTAAGACGGGGTCTCCATTCCCTAAGTTGGTGATGAACTAGTAATACCCCTGCCTCAGCTTCCCATGTAGCTGGGACTGTAGTCCTGTACCACTAGGCACATGTGGGCCACTTAATTGTTTTTCTAGAACAGAATACACTTTGGTGGATGCAGAGACAACAGGAAACTTTCTTTTAATGAACAAACAGTTTTCACAAAGACTATCTATATATCACACTGCGATTACAACATAGATGAGCTGAAATTATTTTGTGCAGATTTAGAAGAAGGGAACCCTAAAAGGAAACCAGGCACATAGAGGTAGTTGAATAGCATTGGTGGGGGAAGGAGAGTTATCTTAATTTCCCTTCAACTCATAACTGTGCAAAAGTAAAATGGCTGCTTAACAAACAAATGAAAACCAAATACACATACACACTTGCCACTGTTTAAGTGACTTGCTGGATGTTTTAGTCCTGGCATTACAAAGAAATGCATACAGTAATGAGACTCATTTATCTCACATCATCCAATAGTGCCACACCCAACTATTTGCTCTTCATCTTAGCTCACTGGTTGTCTTCATCACTTGAACAGTAGATGAATGGCAGCAGACTTTGAAGATAACGCACAGGTACAGTGTTGCTTTGTAAACTTCTGTTAATCACATTTGTGGCTGCAAACAGATTTTTTAAATGCTACAAAGTCATGAAGCCAAAGCTTGAAAGTGACACCAGGAACGGCAGTTCCAGGCACTTCTCTCTGGAGGTTAATTTACCATGTTTGGAAACACCCACTTCTAAGTGAAGAGTTCTTCATTTCCCCTGTGGATGTGTAAAATCCAGAGCATTGCGTAGTTAAGCAGTGGAGTGGGTGGGAGCTACCATTCTAAGAGGAATTAAATGTGTACACTGTGCACGGCTCCTTTCCCATCCAGCTCTCTGTACATTAGAAACACCAGAAAGCAAAGCCCAAGCCCTGCTTGCTTTTCAGAGCTGTCTTTCACCCAGAATCAAAACCTCATTCCTTAGGCCCAAGATGAGTAGAAATGGACACACAGTCAACAAGCTGGGAACCCAAGGAACGAACCTATGGCTAAAATTCACATGCTGGAAATGAAGTTGGCACAGTAAATGCAGGCCCCAGTGGGTTGCAGTCCATCAACAGGACACCACCTGTTGGCAATAACCCAGCCATGGGAATTCTGAGGCTTCTGTGGCTAGTCACAGGGGATTATCTGAACGCAGGCCAGCTCCACAGGCAGAGATGGTAGCACCACGTGCCATAACTCAACTCTGCTACGGAGGCAGCACTGAGCGTGAAGCAGTTGGCCTTCAGAAAGGCAAGCTATTGGAATAGTTCTCTGCCCCCCCAAGTGAGGAGCAAACACCCCTTTCTTCAAATTGTCCACTGAAAAGTAGTTTCTTCATTTTTCACTTTCTACATTTTGCTGGTTTTTAGCTAGCAGCAGTAGTACGGTACAGAGCAGAAAGGCATAAGGTCTGCTTGCTACCTAGTATATCACACACACACACACACACATACACACACACACACAAATCTGCAAGGAAAAGACTGGGTCAGCTCTCATGTCATGGTAGAAAGGAAAACTAACCCAAGAAAGCAGCACTGTCTACAAGGGGGAACCTTGTTCTTCTGACTGATACTTAGCTTTTATCTCTATACTTATTGCCACTGCACTTAGAAGCAGAATCAATCTGCAAGTGCTAAAAACAGTCAAGTTCAACTGAGTTTTCCACTCATGTACATCCTGAAGAAAGTCAAAGCCTACTATCCCACTTCCTGCCATTACTGAAACAAAAACTGGCTAGAGAACAACCCCAACATGGATCCAGGCTACTCAGAGAAATGTGCTCTTTAGCCCAGCCAAGATTTCCATGTGCTCAGATTGGGTATCTCTTATCAATGGGATTTTATTAAGAAGCCAAACTTCCCCTTTCACTTAGATTAACAAAAGCTGTGTTGGGCAGCTGTATATTACTTCACCTGGAACTCCTCATTTTGAGCTCTTGGGGTGATTTGTAATTTGACTGCCATGTCTATTGAATAAAACATGTATAACAACTGTTCAAAATGTCGAAAGATCTGCTACTTGATAGGTAAAGAGTCAAGCTTGCCCACTCATTGGATGACCATATTACATAGGCATATTCTTCAACATTGCTGAGCCTGTGTTCTTATCCATATATGGGGTTAACAATGCTGTCTAAAAGGTTATTTCATGTGTTCAGGTGCATGAGATAACTCAGTTTAGTACCTGGTACACGGCAGGTTCTCAGTACATCATTGTAGAGTCTGTTATTTGAGACAGCACAAAGAAATTACATTAGCTATGTGCAAAACCCTTAGGTGGTGAAATCCTATTATTCTGGTATAGCTGAAATTCTCAACACCTTTTGAAGAACAGGGAGAGTTGGTTTGATTATACCCGTGAAGCTAAAACTTAAGGCTTCCATTCTATCAGGAATTATGGTCCCCCACCCCAGTACAGCACTACCTTATTAAAATGGAAACTATTTTCTTGGTGTGGTAATTAGTCCCTACTTCTAACACTCATTTGTTCTCCAGTCCTTTCATTTTCTTTACATTTCATATATTTTTAAAAACGGTACTGGAGATAGAACCCAGTGGCCCATGCATGTAAGGTAAACGATAGCAACTTTCCTAGTCCAAGAGTCAGTGGTTTGGATTTTCCCAATCAAGCTTAAAGTGGATGCAAATGAATATTGCAAGTCAAGACAGTGCTTCGTGTAGCTGTAGACTATTGATGACATTCTACATGGCTGATAATAGTAATAGTTTATATCTCCCATCAAGGCACTGTGCTAATTTCTGACATGTCCCATTTAAAGTTCCTAAAAAGCCTATATGCTACCAATATCACCAGCATTCCATCTTTTAATAAAAATATAGAATGCTATCCAAATTTGCATGCCACCCTTGCGAAGGAGCTGTGCTAATCTTCTCTGTGTAATTCCAATTTTAGTATATGTGCTGCTGAGACAAGCACCAGTATCATTTCATATATGAGGACACTGGGGCTCAATGCAAGTTAAATTGATTCCAAAGTAACACATGCAGTTAAGTGGAGAAACTTTTGAGCTTTTTCTCTGTTGTGTTTACACTATAGAATGGGAAACAATCATATTAGGACTTTGCCATAATCATATAGTTGGCTGTCAGGTGGGAGGGGAAAATATCTTCATTTCCTGGTCTGCGAGATTTCTACATTTAACTCAGGTAGTACCCACTCCTGTATTTCCATTACATACACCTGCATTCCTCACCTGCCCTGGTTATTCCAAACATCAAAGCTGGTAATGCTCTGACAACACAGCCTACAGTGTAGATGATTGCTTGCTTTCTGTTTACATGAGTCTGTTTTACAGCATCTGGAAATCACCTCTCTCTCACACACAAACCCCACCTCTTTCATGTTTCTGGTGGTCATAGACGAGCCCAGACTGATCCCTGATTGATATCAATCTCTCTCTCTCTCTCTCTCTCTCTCTCTCTCTCTCTCTCTCTCTCTCTCTCTCTCTCTCCCTCCCCTCTCCCCTGTTAACAGAGTGGAGGGGCTACACGTGAATAACACACCATAGCTGTCCAAAATCACTGGGGAGTAGTTTGCATAAGAAATAAATGTGACAATTCGCTTAATTCACTTTTCCTGGCTCTGATTTTCCTCTTTGCCATTATAATACACCCGCACTCTGTTTTCCAGGTTTCTCTGACACCAAATGACTCAAACTAACACTAAGCGAGCTAAGAAGCACTACTTCAACCCTTCCTACCCATTCCCTTTGTTTTCTCCTCTGCATTGAAATGTTTGGCTCATTGTTACCAGGAGGGAAGGCAGTGTTTACATAACATCATGGATTCATTTCCCTGGAATCTACTATAGATATTTAAAAGTGGATTCTAACCTAGCTGATTTCCTTACACTTTTAAGAAGCAATAGCCCCTCGAGTATTTCAGCAGGTGCTGGTACAGGTCTTGATGCCATTCTCTCTGATAAACTAAGTAAATATTAATCTTATCCTTAACTGCACTGGGGAGAAATTAATGCACTTCTAATCAGACAGCTTGAAAAATACCTCTAATAGATTGTAATGAGACATTTCTAAATCATCTCTCCATTCTTGAGTAATTCTTTCAGCCTTCTTCTGTATTACACACAGAAAAGGGATTCTTTTTCCTTACTCTTGCACACGCCACAACTTATACCAAATCAATTAGGTACTTTCTATCACTTAATTCAAATGGAAAGAGTGGAATTTGTGAAGATAAATTACCTTAGAATCCTTCCGAAATTCTTTGAAACTTAGTACACTAGGATAGACATGAACTATATAAAAATGGCCCAAGAATTGGGATTAATTCAGCAAAAAGTAAAGAACATTGCACGTATTAGTACTGTTATTCCCCCTACATAGTCAACCATGTCAATAAATAAAGCAATGGACTTTTCAGTAATGTACACTTAAATAGTTATAAACGTACATGTAGAAAAAGGATACAGTAGTGCAAAAAATAAATTATTAAAACAGAAAGAAGTATGAACATTATTTTACACAATGCTCTATAAAACCTGAACCATTTGAAATGAAACATCAAGTCAGTGGAAGGATGCCGAGACATCGGCATCTCTGCTTCACAGTTCAACCACACAGTCACTCAGCTATGACAGATAAGTCATACTCAACTTTTAGAAAAATGTATGCTAAACATCAACTTTTTCTGGACTCTTCCACACCTCTGCCTGTTTGTGTCAAAAAACATCTGAAGACAGAAAGTCAATCAGGTCACCTCCTTTTGGTCTTCCTACTCAATTTCTGTATGGTCAAAAAGCAGAGTATCATCTGTCTAGGATATGCGCTCTTCTGTTAAAGTGTTATTGCAATTAGACATATTTACAAGAACATCGCCCTGGAACAGTGGACAGGGTGGAAATGCCTTTTCCACAATCTGCTCCCACTAATTTTGGTTTCTGGATATAAAGGCCAGGATTCGCCGAATACCATTGAGTCTGTCCTTTAAAGACCTCATTGCTAGGAAGGGGAGCTGAGCTCTACTTTCCAGGGGAAGAACCGCTAATGTCCACCAGCACCAGGCTGGGCCATTTGGATTAACCTGCAACAGAGAAACACAGTTCATTGATCCTATTCCCATGCAGTCCAAGTACAGATGTCCACATGCATAAAGTAAACACCCTCCATGGAACTGCTTCTGTTTGTGAGCCAGGGACTGCTGAGAGCCTCCATTTCATCTTTTTCTCTTCTTTTCTTTCAGCTGACCATACAGCCACATGGTGGCAGGGGGTAGGGGACACTATTATTTCCCAGTCTCCCTTGTGGCCAGGTAACTCATAGACTGGATTTTGGCTAAAGAGTTACAAGAAGTGGTGTGTGTAAGTTCTGACTCATGTTCTGGGAAAAGAGCATGCAGCCTCTGCCTCCCTTTTTCTTCCCATTTCTTGTCTTTTTTCTTCTCTTTTAAAATTTTTATTATTTTATGTGTATGGTGTTTTGTCTGCATGTATGTCTATGTGCCACAGAGGCCAGAAGAGGGCATGTGATTCCCCTGAATTGGTGGTTGTGAGCCACCATGTGGGTGCTGGAATTAACCCTGGGTCAACTGCCATGGCTCTTAAGCTTGGAGCAAAGTGTCCAGCCCCTCCCCCTCTGTCTAGTAAGACTGAAGACACATGATGATCAGTCTTCAGTTAGGGTAAAGGAACTCTCTGAAGATGGCAGAGCTCTGCGATGGAGGAGCCTGGGTTTCTGAATGCCCTCTTGGAATAGAACTGCCTTAGTCCTCCAGGACTGGGGACTTCTCTCTCATCTGAGCCACAGTCATCTTTAGTAGTTGTTAAACAAAACAACCAACATCCTAACATATACACAATGCTCCCTGGGCAGTGTGATTTTATAAGTTGGACTATCCACTGTTTTGTCTCTTCCACTTCTAAGGCACTGATTAGGTCCTTTGGACTGATCCATTCAAGGCTGACACCCCATGGGAGGCCTTACCCTTTCTGAGGAGTGGGTGAGGGTAAGTGGGGAGGAAGCAGGAGGAGGGAAGGGAGAAAGAAATGTGGTTGGTATGTAAAATGAATAAAAAACTAAAATAAAATTCCAGCCTTTAATCCTACGACTCTTCAGGCTTGGCATGTCTTTTAACACCCATCATTTTCTTACTTTGGTGGAAGGCTGTAGTCTAAATACACCATGTCAGAAACAGAGGCACAGCTACCTTCTCCCCTGAAACCAAGAGCTATGATTTCCCGTCTCAAAGAACAACAACCAACCATTCCAATTAGAAAACACATTCTTGTTAACCCTCTGGTTTTCCTTTAATAAAGACATTTCTCATCCCTTACAAATCCTTCACGGGCATTCTCTTTGTCATCAGCTTCCTGAACACACATTTTAGATGTTTATTACTAACCCTCAAATGAGTTTTCTTCCTACAACTTTCAAAACGAGTCAGCTTTCCACTTACAGAAAAGCACATGCTGATATAACTGCTTTGTGTGTTTCTCCCTGAGTGTCCCTGAGCACTTGGTTTTTCTGTGCTTCTAGCTTCATCTGAACACTCCCTTCTCTGTGTCTCTCAACTGCCTGTCCCCCCTCTCTCTCTCTCTCTCTCTGTGTGTGTGTGTGTGTGTGTGTGTGTGTGTGTGTGTACCTAACTGTAGTGTACAATGCATTTTCTCTTAAATCACTTCTTTATACCAGGTTGCTATTCTGAACTTTCTTTCCTGGGATCACCAGCAGATACTTAAGCTGATGTTAACACTGTGGCTGTTTCTAAGAAACCTCCCACTAAGGTACAACACTGTTATTCATGGAACCCCTTAGGACTGTAGGATTAGATATAGCAAACTGGATGAAACTGGATGAGCTTTTGCTGCTGCCATCACCACCAAAGCAACATGATAACAAAGCTAATAAGAAAGGAAATGATTTTGGGCTTGCTATATCATTAAGGCCTTATGAATCACACTGAGGCAGCTATGTTTTCTCCTGTGGAAGATGTGGTTAGCATTGCTGATCTCTATCTTTTGCCTGACTGGGAGAGAATGTTCGCCAGCAGGTGAGGGGGAACATTAAGCTTGAACATGACCTTGTTACAAGTTATGCTGTCTTCTTGAATCACCATAGACAAGATCTGGGTTACCAGGAAGCACTTGCTGGCCTTGTTCTCTTTAGAACATGTGAGTGATGCCTTTGTATGGAGAGAGAAGAGCAACTCCGTGGGCTGGAGGAAGCAAGACACTTGAGGACATTAGGAAACAGGTGTTTTAGAATGGAGGAGGAATAACTTTAGAGTCTCAATGATCCTGCATGATTTTAGGTTCTTCTACTGTGATAGAATCAGGAAGCATACATTAAAAAAGAAATCAAAGAAGTTCTAGGAGTGATTCTGTGGGACAGCCAGCTTAGAATATGGAGAGAGGTAGCATTAAGAGAATAGATCTGTTTAGGCCGTTTGTTCTCCAAACTGGAATTCCCCACAAACTGCTTGATTGAAACAAGGCAGACTAAGCATGGTGAAACCCAACACTCCCCACTTTTCTAGTGGACTCTGGATCTTCAGCTTGAACTCACAGAGATCTGTTCCTCAAGGAAGAGCAATGCAGTAGAACCTAACTAACTATGTCCCGGGGGCCAGTTTTCTCAGGACCTGTTCAATCTAGGAACAATAACAAGTGTCTAGCCTTGCGGAGCTATGCATGGATGGGCTGGATATGATGGTTTCTACATCTGGACTCTTATGGTGTAGGTGATTCTACCTCCTAGCTCCTGCAGGATTGGAGAAGGGGAAATGAAGCTGGCTGGAAGTAGCAGCATTAGTTATCATCTATCTTACTAGTACCCTAGCCTTTGCATGTGTCTTGTCACCCTAACGTTACCATGGGGTGGGTTTGGACTCCCACTGAAGGTTCTTCTGTTAAGTGCTGTTGGTGCTCCCTTCCTCTCACTTCACTTATTTCTCAGTTCTAGTCTCAGTTCCAAGTTACCTCTGTTAAGCCAGTTCCAACTTGGGATCTTTTTGGTCTCAACCATGATGCTCACTACCTAGCTACACTGTAGTGTATTGGATCTGTCCTCTTCTCTGCAGTTAACCTGCTGGATGACAACCACACACCCACCTAATCACAAAGCCTGGACTCTCCCACCTCATAGGGCAACCTGCTCTAAATAGACATTCTTATATACCTGGGGATCTTCATCTTTCTCTGGCATTGGACCGAAATGATTGAGTATCCGAGTCTTCAGAGATGCTTTGAGTGAATGAAACCATGTGGAGGCTTGCTCATACACACAGTTATGCAACCCCATGAGTTCAGCACAGTCTTCTCCCTGAACCTGAAAATATCAAAATGAAAGTGAAGCCACCTCTACCTTCGCCACCCACCTCAGACTTGTTTTTGACACTTGACCCTCTTTTGAGAATCTGACCTGCTTTTCCGTCATCCATCTGCCTTTCTACCATGTAAGATAAGGAAGACCCAGCAGCCAGATGCTGGGCGGAGTACAAATATGGCAGGGAGAGCAGGAAGACAAAAGGTTTAAATGAGAAAAATGCCCGAAACAGCAAGCACAGAGACACCCAGAAGCTTGAGCTAGCCCAGGTGATGGCATACAAGAAAAGTGCAGCGTGCTGGTTTATGCTTTTGCCCCTTTCATTTTCACACCCTCTTCTTACTCACTGGGAAGGTGGATAGGAATATATCTGTGTCTCACTATATCTTCAAGGTCAGATGACTTTATCCATTAATCATGTATTATCTACTACAGAAGTAATATAAATGAGCATGGGATCTTTTTTTTTTCTTTTTGGTTTTTCAAGACAGGGTTTCTGTGTAGCTTTGGAGCCTATCCTGGCACTCGCTCTGGAGACCAGGCTGGCCTCGAACTCAGAGATCCACCTGCCTCTGCCTCCCGAGTGCTGGGATTAAAGGCGTGCAGCACCAATACCAGGCAGAGCATGGGATTATTGACATATTCATCTACCCATTAGGTCAGAAAACCAAGGATTAATTGGACATGTGGCCTTTTCGTTTTGTTTTGGGGGGATGGTGAATGGCTTTGATTTAGGAATAGTGTTCTTGGGCAGGTTGCCCATTTTTAAAAATGCAAACTTATACTTGAATCTACAATAATCTCAAAAGAAATGCATTGGAAAATATAAACCAATCCATACTTAAAATACTTATGTGTAGAGCCCAATGTAAATTGAGCCATTGGTGTCCCTTGCAGAGACCTAATTCAGGCTGAATGGGCCCGGGGATTAGTCTCCACAAGCATTAAATGCAACTACAATTCATCAGCTAAGCAGGGAGAGGGGTGGGGGAGGGGAGGCAGATGGAGGACTATGGATGCAATTGGGCAGCAGTCCAGTAGCATTCATCCAGTAGAATTCATCCAGTAGCAATTTGGTAAGAAATCCCAAGGCTCCAAGACAATTCTGAGAAACCCCTTTGCCATCATCTTTGTATGAAAAACTACAGTGCTAATTTGACTTTTAGGTTTCTTGGCACTGGCCACACTTACCTTTTGATCTTCAATATATTCAATGTCAGCTGTGTTGTAGCCATCCCTCTGGCCCTGATGGAGCACCTTGAAACGCCTCTTGCCTATGCTGTCAACCACTGATCGGCCATCAGCAAAGAATTGGACATTTCTGATCTCTAAGATACAGCCATATTCTGCAAACCTGTTTATTGAGAATCAAGTCCAGAGAGTACATTGTTGATGAGTTCTATTGTTTTTGGCCTAGACCCCAGCCATTCCTAGCACCTTGTGCTGTTTTCTATAGGACTTCTGTGCCCCGATTTACAACTACAGCTGTACAACAGGCAGCATCTATGGAAAAAAATGGTATACTTGCTACCATTTGTTGAGCACATACTATATGCAGTGCTATGGTTTAAAAGTCTGTCCTTCTCAAAGTTTGTATTGAAATTTAATTGCCATAACTAAGACACCTGCCTAGCATGTACAAGGCTCTAGTTTCACAAAAAACCCAACTGTTATCACATGCTGGCACATTGGCTATAGACTTCACAGTCTCAATAATCATAGATGTGAATTTCTATTGCCTGTGTCAGCCCACCCCTGGAATTCTAATACTGGGGAGGTGGAAGCAGGATTGCCATGCATTTGAGGTCAGTCTGGGATATACAGTGGCTTCTAGGTCAACTTAGGCTACAGTATGAAACCCTGTCTCAAAAAAAATCTACTGCTTATAAATTAGTTACTATACAGCATATGTTACAGTATCCCAAATGGACTAATTCAGACAGGAATCATGTTTAGTGCTTGGAGTACATCAGTACCATCAGTTCTCCCAATAAGCAAGAACAGACAAAGAAACTGAAGACAGAAAGACTAAATGATTTGCCTAACCCCCAAGGTGCTCCAAGGCCAGCACTCAAGATATAAAAGCGTCTAATTTAGCTCTAGGGCTAAGACTCTTAACAAGGCCATTCTTTTGTTTGTTTGTCTCTGGCTTTTGTTTGTTTTTGAGACACGCTTTCACATATTCCAGGCTGTCCTTGGACTTCGTATGTAGTAAAGGATGACCTTAAACTTTGTATTCTTTTGCCTCCATCTCTCCACCATTGGGACTGTAGGTTTATGTAGTGCTGAGGGTCTATCCCAAGGCTCTGTGACTGGTAGGTAGGCTGAACTATATATAGGCCTAGCCCACAAGACAAGTTTTATAGTGTATGTTACCTGCTTAATGAAAGATTACTTCTGGGGTTATTTTAAATAAGGAGCCTCTCATATTATAAAGTAGACTCCAGAGGGACTGTGATCCTCACAGATGTTTTGATGTTCTGATCTGGTTAACCTCATGGTTTTGTTAGACCCCACTTCTAGAAGCCCTCCAAAGTAAAACAGAAACACCTCTCTACCTAATTTCCATGTTCCCTAGGTCTCACTTACCCTTTGACAGGATCTCCAAGGCACATGCCAAACTGTTTTGTGCCTGTCTCAATACATCTCCGAATCATTAGGCGGTAACAAGGCTCAAAAATGTGCAGGGGACAAGGAACGGTGGGATAGGCCATAGTACACACGAAAATAGGCACATTCTTATTTAAGCTGTTGGGAAGAGAAGATGAGATGAATCTCAAACCAGTGGGTGAGAGCACAGATAGGTTGGTCACATGTCACGATATGATTCCCTTGGAGTAAGACAATGAGCCACCAAAGTTTAATGACTGATAGAAAAACACTGAAATGCAATTGATGCTATAGGCCAAGTTCCATGATCCAATGCAGAGACCAACCAAATCTGAAAGCCTAAACTGGCATTGCACACATTCTAAGTTTGTTGATTAGAATTCTATCACCATAATACTGTGAGTAACAGGTATGCTGCTCCTTCCTTTCTTCCCCATCCCTCTCATTGCCCAAATAGACCAATTCAGTCACTTTGCTTGAGGCATGAAGAAGGGCACTTATGGTATAAATGCACTCAGTTTTCCAGAGGGGCAGTAAAACTTCCTTCGAAGTCCTTTCATGCATCTCAAATTTGCCAAGCCCCTCAGAGACCATTCAGAGTAGATCCAGCTGGGCAGAGTGGCCAGCAAGAGACCACCAAGACAAATGTATCCCCAGTGATGCTCAAATGCTCATGGACATCAGAATAACGGGGGACCCTTACATATAGATGACTGGGCCAATACATCTTCAGGGATACTGGCGCATGCAACGCAGGAATCTGCTTTTCAATAAATACCCTGGAGAACTCAGGCACATGGCTTTGTGAGGAATCGCCAGTGAGGCCAGCTGTTCATAGATCCACGTCCTCTGACTCATCTGGGAAGTCCAGTGCAGGGACACTGCACCCAAATGGCCCAAGAAATGTAAAGCCATCTGTATAAATCTTTAAAGGGGCTAGGTCTGAGAAGCCTTCAAAGAGAAAGCCCCTCAGTATGTCTAGCTTTGACTAATACAGCCTTAAGTGATAGCTGAGAAAAGGACTTCTCCAGAGAGAAGAAGGCAGCCATTCTCAACCTGTCATTCATGACCTCTTTGGGGGCCAAACAACCCTTTCACAGAGGTTGCATATCAGTTAGTCTGCATATCAGATATTTACACTATGATTCATAACAGTAGCAAAATTACAGCTATGAAATAGCAACAAAATGATTTTATAGTTCGGGTCACCACAACATGAAGAACTGTATTAAAAGGTCACAACATGAGGAAGGTTGAGAACTATTGTGTTAAAGAGCAAGTGAAGAATCGGGAAAGAGATAAAACTGTACAGAGCAATTTCAATATGAAAATCAATGAGAGCCGAGCGCTGGTGGCACACGCCTTTAATCCCAGCACTCGGGAGGCAGAGGCAGGTGGATCTCTGTGAGTTCGAGGCCAGCCTGGTCTCCAGGGTGAGTGCCAGGATAGGCTCCAAAGCTACACAGAGAAACCCTGTCTTGAAAAATAACAAAAAAAATCAATGAGAAACAAACAAGTCTAGTCTCTGAGGAAAAACATGCCAAGTGAAGGCACATCCTCACCAACAGGGCACACAGTTCAGAAATGGCCTCTTCCCGGAGGGCATATAAACAGAAGTGTTTTTTTCCCTCAGGAAGCAGTTCACCTTCAGAATGCTGCAAGAAGCCTTTGGGAGGTCAGGGAGGTGCTCAGTAGTCAGAGGTGCAGGACTTAATTATTTCCTGCTTTTTCTGCTAAGTGCACAACAGTCATAGCTCTTGAAGATCCAATTACATCTCCATCTCTTCGCCTCTGCCACACCCGTGGCAGAGGAAATACACAGTGAGTTCAGGCACCATAGTCATTTATTAAGTGCTTGCTGTGTACCAACGCATTTGGGTCTTTAGAACAAGTCCATAATGTGAGAGCTATCATCTCCAAGTCACTGGCAAGGATATTGAATCCTGGAAAAGTTAAATGGCATGTCCATGACCACGAAACACACTCAATGATAGAACTGGCTCTTAACCCCAGGTGTGGCTCACAGCACTGTTTAAGCACCCTTAACCTGCTTGAAGGCATCTTCCAGTTGTCTCATAGGGTTTCCTGCCTAAGCTGCTTCTTAACTCACTCCTGCCCATAACATGCACTTACTAGTGCTGCCATGCATCAAGAGCCTCTGTGGTTTGGCTGATGCACGTCTTCAAATACATGCTGGTCAATGTCTAAGAACTGCTTCTGAGAGGGATGGGGGGCCATCTGTAGCATTTGTTGACTTGCCCCATGGCCATTTCAAACTAGTAACATGCTATCACTGAAGAAGGAGCTAGTAAGAAATGTGTCAGTTTTTGTGAACTGATGTGCATGAAATGGAAATTAGAAACACGCATGTACATACTTAGAAAGCTCTTCCATCTCCTCTTCATGAAGCCTCCTTCGTTCCTTGAGTTCTTCTGGCAGGAATTTAGCTATTAGTTCTTCCATGATCACATTCTTGCTGTACTTTCTTGATGGCAAGCACTAGGAATGGAACAAGGTAATGAGATATTATACAGTCCACAGAAAAACACAGAGAATTGTGTAACCCAGACCTAGTCTGATATAGCCCAGATAGTAGTCAAATCACTCATGTGTTGTCATTTGGACTCACAATTTGGAAGCTAATATAGCCACAAATATGTATCTTCTGGATGTTGGAGATTTGATTTTCTTAAAAATATGCAATTGAACATTTATAACTAAAAATATTTTTAAGAAAGAAAAATATTACATTAAACATTTGCGAATCTCACAGATGACCTAAAGCTTTGGATCTGAGATATTCACATCTGAAATAAAGAGGGGCGGATCTTACTTCCTGTTCACTTTATTGTTGTGTTCACAAGCTCTATCTGGAAAGTGCTGAAAGCCTCTAGTCAAAGGATTCAGAGAGCCAAAAGGCTATGTTCATGTATCATTTTCTGCCCTGCCCTACCTCTACTCCAATCGAATGTCTGGCTTCTAGATATTTCCATGTGTCTACGTCTTAACTGTAGTTAAAATAAAAACCACACATACACTTACAGCCAAATACAGGTGATTGTCTAGTTGCCAATTTATGACAGCATCTAGGTATCAACTGAAATTTAGAATCAGACTTAGGTTAAAATATCACTAGTTTGTCCTTCCTAAACATCCCTACCATACGTATATTGAGAGATCTATGAGTAGTGTGTATTTAACAATATGGCCCAAACAATGACTGTTAAAATATCTGGAAACTAGAGAAAAACCTATTGCCTTCACTTTCCTAAAGCAGCACAATATACTTAATAACTGTATTCTAAATACTTATTCGTATACTCACAGATAAGCACAGTCCTCACCCCTCACCAAAGAAGTTTCTCTTTGCAGCAGGCAGAGACCAGTACAGAAAGACACAACTGGTCACAATGCAGAGAACAATTCCCTGTGGGGTGTTCATCCCCCATTGATACAACTACAACACAACCCCTACATGTAAGGCTCAGGACATAGCAAAAGAGGGGGCGGGGACAGAAAGGTTGTAAGAGCCAGAGGACCAGGATGTGTGTGCTTCCTTCTCTATGTGACAGGAAAGTTGTCCCCATGATACCTGAATAATACAGTTCTCTAAACAAGACCTGAACAAATGGCAACACCAGAAAATGTGTCAAAGTGTATGGAGGAAATCTCATAAGGCCCTACTCCTAGATGAAGAGTTAGAGGCAACTAATGGCTGCTGGGAGAGGAAGAATCAGTCTTCCCCAGGGAGAAGCCCCCTAATTGGTTATGCAACATCAGTGGTCAGCCCTAACAGCATATGAGCAACACTAAATGGACTCAGGATGGTGTACTTGTATGTTTATACGCACACATATATGAAACAATAGAGAATAAGAGGGCATAAAACTGAGAGGGAGTGGGGGAGACACAGGCAGGGTTAGATTGAAATTGAGAGGGAAAAAGTAAATACAGCACTCATATACAATTCTCAAATAATAATAAGTAAAAAATAAATATCTACAGAACATTGATTGCTGTGGGACTCAGTAGAGGGAGCTCCTGAGTACCAAATTGCTGGCTTCAGACAATTTTGTTTCTTCCCCAGGAGTCTCTATTCTGCAACGAACATGATTGGAATTTGCATTGCTTTGTTAAATGGCGTAAGTATGGCCCTGTATGAATACAGAGATACATGAGAATATCTTCTAGCCTCTGAGTCTGAGATCCCACAGCTTCTGCCTACTGGATGCCTTATCAGTTACTGCCATTGCCTGGCAACAGGATAAAACCTACAATGTCTAGTTCCAGGCTTTAGGAGAAAGCAGTGACTCAAAAGGCAGCCAGTCTAAGGGATAAAGTGATCCCTGTGCGGATGCTAAAACAAAAGTGTGTCCCCTATAATGGTGACAGTGCTTTTCTCTAGAGGCTAAGCATATGGTAGACTTTTTCCTTCTCTTGGTGTGAACTTTGTAGTGTTAACACAGCATGAATGTCTTATGTAAATAGAAGGACCATAGAATTCTTATCTACAATCAGGTTGCAAATCCCACCTCTTTATCTAAGGGAAGCTATCACTTTAGCACTTTCCCAATCCCAATACACATTCCCAAGGCTACCCTGGATGATGGATTCACTCTAGCTCCTTATTGTCAATGTCAGAGTTAAGGCAGGCTCAACATACACTTCTCTGGACCTATAGGAACCTATGTTCCTTTTATTCCTGAGACAAGGTCTTCCTGTGTGTCTCAGGTAGACACTGAACTCACAATGCTCCTATCTCAGCTTCCCAAATCCTGAACTACCAGCATGCATTACCATTCTCTAGAGATAACCTAGCACCTGCAAGCTCTCTTCAAGAATGATAAGCAATTTCAATGCTGTTTTTAATCTGAGATCCCCAAGTCTCTGAAGGAAGGAAAGCAAGACAGATTCCTTTCTTTTGCCACAGGAAACTCCATAAGGCCCACTTGAAGATGTAAGCTTGTGTAGTTAATTTTAAAGAATCTGAAGTACTCAGAACTTTACAAGCTGCCAAGTATCTGCCAATAAGAACAGTGGCTCCTGAGGAGTTGGAGAAAGACCACATTGATGACCTGAGAGTTTTCTTTGGGAGGTGGTGGCTGGGTCTTAAGCAGCTGACCTCTTTAAGCACAAATAAACATCATTAGGGCACAGAAATCTGAGCTATCTAGTTCAAGGATAGCAGAAACAAAATTCACTCAAGATTGTTGTTTATGCGGTACTGCAATTGGACCAGAGGCAAGATTTGTATTCATCATCTATTTCGTGTTTTTGCTTCTAACACTTCTGAACTTCATCACTGACGGTTACTGAAAAGCTAGATGTTGCCTCATTTTCCTGAAGGACTTTGTGGAGAGAGGAAAGATATCTAGGAGACAGCAGAAATAAGTAGATGGTAAGGAGGTGTATTTTGGTCAAGCACGGTACAGTGGCTTAGGATTCAGTTGAGCACTGAGTTGATACAAAATAAGCTAATGCAACCAAGGAAGAAAGAGCGGTTTACCTGTAAAAGAACGTCTTTGCACAGTGGACACTTTGCATTATGATCTAGGCATCTCTCAAGACATTTCAAGCAAAAGGTGTGCCCACAAGGTGTTGTGACTGGCTCATAGAATAATCTGAAATTTAGGAAATGAAACAGGAGAACATTGTAATAAGATGAAAAAAAAGACAGATGCATTCATGGTTAAGGTTTCACGGAACTGTTTGTCAAAACCTGTGGGAGGATACGCATTTTGTGTTTCATCACTGGTACTATTACACATCAGGAAAGCATTTTCCTTTTCATTCATGAACTATATATAGAAAGATACATAGGTTCAGATTTAGGGCATAACTAATCTATTTTGTAACATTAGTCCTATTGTTTTCCTGTCGAGTCCAAGAAAAATTCAGATTCCATTACTGAAAAATAATTAGCCAACCTGTTTACCTGAGTATATTGTAAGCACACAGATACATATGGAGAGATACAGACATGCATACACACACATAAGACCCTGTACATCATATTACTTCAAGGAAAAATTCAATTTGTTGGCTAACTTTTATTCTTTTCTTTATTTTAGTGACATCTGGTGCCTGAAGGTTCTTAACACTGTAACAAGCATGTAGTTGCCTTTTGTGTGGTAATAAGTAAAACTTGCTTCTACCAATAGATATATAAAATATATGTGTATATCTACCTACATTTTCACATATAAAATTATGTTCAGCTGTACCATATTTCCAATAGATCTCATTTTAATTGCTTTGGGGAGGGGGTGTTTTAAAATCAGTTTGGGGTTGCTTAATGAAAACTGTTCTGCACAGTCAGAGATGCATAATTTTACTTTATGTAAAGAAAGGCTCACCTGAAGCAGGACCAGGAGTGAGGGGGTCAGCTGGTGATGACTATTAGGAACTCCAGCTCACATCTAACAAGATGATGAGCACAGAGAAAAGGGAGACAAATCTTGATCAGCTTCTTTTGACTTCCCAAGAGTGTTCAATTTAGAGCAAGAGGTTGTCAGCTTCATAATATATGGCATCACACATATTTAATTAGAAGTCAATAGAAGAAGTGGCCAATGATTTGAAGAGGAGGGGGAGGAGGGGACACAGGAGGAGTTGGAGGTGGAAGAGAAAGGTGAAAATGATGCGAATACAGTACTCAGATATAACATTCTCAAAAAAAAATCAATTTTAATGAGAACTATCAACATTTGGTGAGTCTCAATACAACCCAATGAGTTATGTTATTGGTTAATTTGTCTGAGGGAAAACTTGGCAAGCTGCTTTCTAGATGCAATACGGAAATGCAAAGGGCTGAGAGCCAAGGCACATCTGGATGTGGGAGGACTTGGTCCATCAAGCATCAGAACTTATTACAAAGCCATAGTGATTAAAACAATGTGTACTAGCACAGGGACGGAACAGAATAGAAAGCTCAGGAATAGACCCAGGCATAGATTCTTGTCTTATGACAAATGTAACATTTTAAAACAGGGCCATGGGAGGATTTTTAATGCAGAAATATCATTCTCTACAAATGCTATAATGGCTATCTGTACAGGGAAATGAAGTGAACCACCATTTATATCATACACAAAAATCAATTCCAGGTGATCTGAAAAAATAAATCTGAAAAGGAAAACAATGCAGCATTCAGAACAGATAAAATAAAGAAAATTCAAAGAAACACTAAATACATATGAAAAGATTGCCAATTTCAACTGCTCTAAGATTAAGAAGTTTTAAGTTCATCTAAAAGCATAACTAAAAGGGCAAACAGGCAAGTTACATAGTTGGAGAGAGTGCTTGCAATGCACAGGTAAGAAAAAGCTTGTATTTAAAATATACCTAGGGTATGTAAGAAAAACACACCTAAAGCAGTAGGAAAAACATTGAAATAACTTGGTAGAAAAAATGGGCAAACACTGAAACATGCAAAAACAGTGGGCATCCACGACATTTCCAAACTAAAGCCAATGCAAGCATCCACCTAGGATAAAATAGAGCCTGTGGAACACTCACACAATGAGATACTAAGTGCTAATAAAAATGAACAAACTTATCCCTAGCATAGGTGTGGACTTTGGGAGCTCATTCCACATAGAGAAATACTCCCTGAGCCAAGACACACGGGGGTGTGCCTAGGTCCTATCCCAAAGGATACGATAGACTCTGATGACACACTACAGAAGGCTCCTCACCCTCCCTGAGGAGCAGAAAGGGTATGTGATAGGTAGGATGTTAGTTGAGGGTGCAGGAGAGGAGGGGAGGGTGAGGGAACTGGGATTGACGTGTAAAATAATCTTCCTAATTCAAATAAAAAAATAAAATAAAATAAAATTCCCAATTCAGAAAAATATGAACAAACTTCACTTACATCTTGATACTGAGTTTAAAAGAAGGAAGCAGGTTGCAGAAATACACTACAATTCAATCTAAGTTTTAAGATTTAGGCCAAACTAGATGATACCATTTACAGTAATATGCATGGTAAAATTATAAGGAGAAACAAAATAGAACTCAAGATAGTATCTGGGGGTTGGATTAGTTACTTTTATATGGCTGTGAGAGAACTCCATGACCAAGGCAACCTTTATAGAAGAGAGAGTTTATATAAGGCTTATTAAGGTTCCAGATGGTTAGTGCCCTGCAAGGACAGCAGGTAACAGACAAAAGTGGCTGGTGTTGGAATCTGGAAGCTGAGAGATCACCCCTCAAACTTCAAGCAGGCAACAGAGAGAGTGAGTGATCTGGGGATGGTAGAAGGTTTTGAAAGTTCAAAGTCTGCCCCCAGAGATGTACCTACTCCAGCAAGGCCACACTTCTTAAGCCTTCCAAACTGCCACCAACTATAGACCATTTGAATTGCTGATACTATGGGGGACACCTCATTCAAATCACACAGGAGTTGTGGCAAAGTATGGTCCTGATTGAGAAAAGGCATATGGACAATTTCTTGGGTCCTGCCGCTGTTATACTTGTTAAACCAAGTGGTTACATGAGTCTATACAATGTTTTCTTCAGAATATGGGAACTGCTGAGGTGATCAAACCACTGGAACTCCCAAACCAGTACAATTATTCCTTGAGTACTTGAATTCTATGCATCTGACTGTTTTGTGGTGTGTGTGTAAATAAAACCCAAGGCCTTACACATGTGAGGAAACTGTCCTATCGCTGAACCACATCATCAAATCTTTGGGTTTTTTGTTTGTTTGAGTGTGTGCGTGCATGCGTGCGTGCATGCGTGCGTGCGTGCGTGCGTGCGTGCGTGCGTGGGTGTGTGTGTGTGCTTGGTTTTTTGAGACAGGATTTCTCTGTGTAGCCCTGGCTGTCCTGGAACTCTTTAAGACCATGTTGGTCTTGAACTCACAGAGATCCGCCTGCCTCTGCTTGCCAAGTGCTGGGATTAAAGGAGTGTGCCACCACCGTCCATCCTTCGGTTTTTTAAAGAGAAGGCCTTGTTCTATTGTCCAGGTTAGCCTCAGACCCCTAGCATTCCTCTTAATTCTGTTTCTCAAGTGCTGGGTTTAGAAGTATGTGTTACCTCCGCTCACCCTTGGTGTTTCTCAGGGGTAGTTCTTACTCTGTAGCTCCAGGCTGGCCTGTAACTCCCAATTCACCTGCTTCAAACTTCTGAGTATTGGTATTACAGGCATATACCACCATATTCAGCATATCTGAATACTTTTAGATATTGTTCGATAATGCATATGAGGATGATTGATGAATCTTACCTACCTGCATAGCATACAAAACTATTTTTTTCTGAGAACTTTTCTGAGAACCTGATTGAGTGTACTGCTAAGAATATAAATACATTTATCTTGCTCTATTTCTGGCTGTGTGTAACACTATTTTTCATTAAATTTAACTTTATATATTAGTAAGTGGTAATTATGATTGATTCATGGCCAAGATTATACACAAAGCTTGGAATGTGTAATCAAATTAGACTCCCCCAACTATCCTTCCTCCTTCAGTCTGCAAGACAGCCAAGACTACGTGCATGCATATATTCAAATTCACTCCAGCCAGGCAGCCAGCAATTCATCTGGGCACGTACATGCTGCCACAAACACTTTCCCCTTCTCTTACTGTCATTCTCTCTCCTTCCTCTGCTCTCTAGAAAGAAACACAAAGATTCTTACCTATGAAGGTAAAGGCATGTAGTAGAATGTCCTTTTTCCATTTAAGATAAGGATTTTGAAAACACTTCAGGGAGACAGTTTTAAATCAGAGCAGGGCTGGCTTGCCTCATAAGGAAACATTCCACACTATCAGAGTGACAGGCGTAAACAATAGTAAGAAAAAATGCCTTCCGTTAGATGTCAGTCCAGATAAAATGTCTGCCTTATCTAAAAAGGGCTATCTTTTCCCACCAGAGGCAGCCTTGCACTGTGTTCTTTTGCTATCAGATTAAAGCAAAGAGAGAAAAGGAAGGGGGAGGGAAGAGAGCAAGAAAGAAAAGTAAACTGCCTTAATACCCAGTGACTTAGGGAGCTGTAACTAGATTACATATAAAGCTGATTCTTTTGCTTATCATCAGTGTCACTGGGCCACCAGAGAACTAGTTCAGATAGCAAATATTCTCACTTCATATCTCCAAATATAGCATCATCCCAGAGGTATTGCATTACAGCAGCTCACAGATGATCCCCAATGGCTAGGGTGATAGTGCCAAGTAAACCTCGGGAAGAAATCTCATGCCTCTAATGATTGCGGGGCAGGGTTCTGAGATGTTGGGGTTAGGGGAGGTGTCCTTTAATGGAGGTCTTCCAAATCAGCAATGGAGACCTGGAGATTTCATTGATGCACTCTGCAACTACTCTTCCATTAAAAAAAAATAGGGCCTCATGTAGCCCAGGACGGCCTTGAACTCACTGTGCAGCCAAAATGACCTTGACCTCTTCACTTTCCTACATCTAGTTCCCCAATACTGGGCTTACTGTGTGTGCCTGTGTCACCACACCTGGCTTCCATTCATACTTGCCCTGTGAAATTTACAACCCAACCAATTTTCTCTCTAGAATCAAAATGTATAAATTCATGGTTTGTGTAACTTTTCTCTGCCAGGACAATACCATAGGCTTAGATTTCAGTATGGACTCTTGTACAGATGGTACAAATGTCTAACTCATGGCCAAGCAGTTTGAAATTATCTGTAATTTTAGACCTGTGATGATTAATATCAACTGTCACCTTGACAGGATCTACAGACAAACCTCCAGGACCCTTGTGAGAGATTATCTAAATTAGTTTGAGGTAGAAAGACCCATCTTAACTGTGGGCAGTGCCATTCCATGGGCTTGGATCTTAGACTGACTAAAAAGGAGCCTTGAGCTGAGCTGAGGGCTAGCATTCATCACCAGCTGTTTCCTGTGTATTGTGAAATCAATGTGAGCAGCAGGACTCCTGATCTTACAGCCACACTTTGCCCACCTGCTGTTATGCCTTCCTCACCATGAGAGAATGATCCTGGCCAATGGTAAGCCAGAATAAACATTTCCTCCCTTAAATTGCTTCTGGTCAAATATTTAGTCAGAGCAACAAGAAAAGTAACCAAATACAAAGGCTCTTCTCCAAAGACACATGAGGGCCAAAACAAAGCCCAACAACAACCGTGACAAAAATAGCAATGGCTACAAGTGAGCAAAGAAACTTTTCAAGAGAGGAAAATACAGGCAAAGGCATCCACACAAAACAAATTCTGTCAGCATCTGATGAGTAATTTACAGACAAACCCTGTTGGAAGGGAAGCTGCATGTTTCTTACCAAGGGCTGAAGTGTTAAAGAGCTTCAGATCAAAGAGTCCCCTAGGCTAGCCAGATTTCTTACACCACAAGGCAGTGAGAGTCTAGCTATAATTTAGTAGCCTACATAACAGCTACTCTAGGCAAAGATGGAATAAAGGGTCAGGAAGAGGGACACAATGGCTTTTAAGCTCGGGGGTGGGGTGTGAACTAGACATGGTGCTTATCCTCTGTGTGTTTATTTCTTGGACCAAATTCCTACCTCTGCTACAAAGTCCCTTGTGATTAGGGACAAAGAAGATGAAAGAGGAAAAGAAAGGAAAGAAGAACAAAGAAATTTCAACCTCAGGATTTTTATTCCACAGGGAAAACACAAACAGGATGAGTCTGTATGTTTGATTTTGTGTCCCCTGGATTTTGGCAGGAGTGTTAAGGAGGGTTAAGCAGAACAAAGACCCGCTCTTTCTGAGTAAGCTAAATGTAATCTACTTCACAGCACCCATCATGGGCTTTTGAGCTGCAACACTGCTGTGGTGGCTACAGGGCCCATTCTCTGCTTGAAAGCAGCTTTTTGCTGTCTTGTACCTTGGCTTTAGTATGATGCACTTGCCACTCTGTTGGGAGGGGCTGGATGAGTGGTGAGAAGGGTCTGCTTCTACAGTTCATCCTACTCTAGTCCACACCACCTAAACAGACTCCTGGCAGTGTATTAGAATCTTAGTTTGACGACATCTATGCTGTACCTGCTCAGCTGGCTGAGACCGGCTTATGCTTATGAACAAATCTTGCTACTACAGATTATTATTATTAGTTTATTATTACTGTTGTTATTATTGTGATACCGGTTATTGGATCCAGAAGCTCATGAATGGTAACCAAGTACTCTGTCACTGAGCTACTACTCCCTTAGACCCAAGTATATGCTCTCTAAGAAAAGTCCATGGTTCAGGTAATAGTTGCCGTTTTCTTGTTCAGATAATAAAAAGAAGTCATATGAACTCACATGACCAATAGGAGAGGAATAAGAGCTTGCCAGGGATGGGCAACATTTGTTCAAGTGTCTCAATACCTTCTTAATACTTTTTGGAGAAATCACATTTGAGAATCTAATAAAAGCTGCATGCTTTTATCTTACATCCCCCCCACGCACACTTTTACATATCACTTCAGTAAATCCATGGATCTATTTGAATGCACACATAGAGCTTCCTCAGAGGTCCGTGGATCTAACACTAAAGACCTCTGTGTCGCCAGGCGTTGGTGGCACATGCCTTTAATCCCAGCACTCGGGAGGCAGAGGCAGGCGGATCTCTGTGAGTTTGAGGCCTGCGTGGTCTACAGAGTAAGTGCCAGGATAGGCTCCAAGGTACACAGAGAAACCCTGTCTCAAAAAGCCAAAAAAAAAGACCTCTGTGTAAGAAGAAAAAATAGTTAATTTTTTGAGTACTTACTGTTTTCCAGTCACTACTCTAGGTATTAAATAGTTTTTCTTAATTAGTCATCTCAACCCATGGAGTACATTCCACTGTTTTCTACTTTACTAAAGAAAAATTAGTGGTGCAAATGTCACTTGCTCTAGGACAGAATCTGTAGATGGAAAGAACTAGGGTTCAAGCATTGACTTCAGAGTTCCTTCCCTCAGCCACTAAATCACAGCTGTGAAATGAAATAAACTTCTGAATTTCAAGGTGGTCACTGAGACCACTTTCACAGAATCTTTCTATTTGATCTTGAAGTGGTATACATGGATAATCAGCTCTTCAAAGACCTGAGAAAGTAGAGATAACATACTAGCTGGAAGGAAAATGCTTGACCAAGTATCACATATGCTGTTCTTTAGACAGCATAAAACACAAACCAATTTTGCCGTCCTTTTGGTTCCCAAAGGAGGTGTGTATGACATTGATATTAATCCTTAAACCTTGAGCTCTTAATTTAGTAGTTTAGATTCAGGGTCACAAGTTCAAGTATCTCTAAGGCTCAAACAATAATGTGAGACAGGCTAGTATAAGTTAATGGGATCATGAGCAGCTGGAAAGTGTATGTCCTGTTTCAGTACAGCCATATATAACAAAATCTAATGGGGACCAAATAGACATGCTCAACTGGTGGCCCATCAGTTTTTGACCTTTGTTGCTTTGCTGCTCCCCAGGTCAGGATTTAAGGATGTAAAGAACGACATTCGTAAGCTGGGGACACTGGCAGTCTCACGACAATGTGATTTCCATTTCATCTGTGCCATGACTTTACATACTAACCAACTCAGTAGTTACTAGAGGAAAGGCCCAAATACCAAAGAGAGGGAAAGACCAGGCAGTAGGTGATGGCCCGTACCACATACCTCATACACAGTGAGCATTCAAGGTCAGACGCATCAAAAGATGCAAGCGGAATACTGGGATCTTGTTTGGCCACCTGATCAGCAGGAAGATCTGGGATTTAGAAAACAGTAAGTCAGGGCCCAATCAACTTAGTTTTACAGACAGCACTTCTGAGGAAAAAAGATTTTTGTCAGATTTTCAATTTCAAACTTCCCCCAGAGTTTAACTTAGTGGCTTCCTGAGCAATTGCCAATGGTATTTCCTAAAGTGGCCTGGCAGTGGTGTTTTAGCAGTCCCCATAGGCAGAGAAGTTCAGGTCTACAGCTCCCTAGGAGTACATTCCAATTCAGTAGGCATGCCATTCAGCAGCAGCAGCAGTGGCAGCTCCGTGGACTGAGCCATGTCTTCAAAGCTGACACTTGGTGCTGCCAACCTCTCTTGGAAAGACAGGAAGCTGTAACTACTGCTTCTCAGAACACAACTGAGACTGACCATGCCTTTCCCATCCTACATTCCCACACCAGGAGTGACGGCAGGAAATGGTTGGCCTGGAAGAAAGTGACATGATGGAAAGCATGGGATGGCATTACTTGACAGGATCCCTACCCTGATGTCTGGACTATGGATGCTAATTATCTTTCGGTGGCATTTTCAATGTGATAGGTACCCTGTACACCCTCACGGAAACCGAACAGCAACCCCTGGGATTTCACAGCTGGTAAGTGCCAGAGCTAGGCCATGAACTCAGAGCTAGAGGAGGCCCCAGACAGAGGGTAAGTACATATGTCAGTGAGCCCAACCATCTGCATTAAGCTACTTTCTCCCTGGGTGGATTTAGTACCTTGTTTGGAGACTTTATTAGGCACGTCTGTGTCTTCATGGATTTCATCAATTTGGCAACGGTTCCTTTTCTTTTCCTGGCATTTGCCGGTCCTGACGGAGGCAGCATCCTGCTTCTCTTCTTCGTGATCTCTCACATTGTTTTCTTGACTACCCACCTTTACATGGGCTGACTTCTCCAGGCTGCTGCCGTCTCCCCCAGCTGCTGCTTCCTCCTGATTAGAACAATGTGGAATCTCTGGATTTCCCTAGATGAAGCAAAAGCCAGATATCAGAATCTACTTGAGACCAATATTGTCCTTAAATAGTCTTATCCTGAGGAGACAAAGAGAAAGTGACATAATCCCGATCTTCACTCCTGAACACTCAGTGGATACTCAACTCAGCGGACGGGCAGGCATGAGGCTTACTGCTCACATCCCATCTATGGCAATGGCATGCCTAGCTTAAGAAGAGTTAGGGGACTTCCCTAAGCATGGACAAAAGGCACATGGAGGAAAAGCTCCCTGGGCAGGGATGAAGGGGGAACTGCAAGGGAAGCACCACTCTTCCCTCCTACTCAAAGCATTTCCCAGTGCTCTGTAAGGAAATCAAAGCACTCTGTGAGGGGTTATCCTGTTACTGGATACTTCCTCTCACCCTCGCTGTCATTCAGAGCCATTTTTTTTCAAAGGACTTTAGGTAAGGCTTTGGGCCAGCTCTGTACAGTCCTGCCAAAGCAACCCATGCCCCAGAGATATATGCTATTGTCATCAAAGGAACAGGGAACAATCCATTCCTTTCCCTCAATTTTGAATGAAAAGTCTAAAAAAGAGACAAAAATAATTTGGCCTAATAGCTTGTCTCTAGCCTTTTAGAGGACTTTGTCCGGGAGAAGGATATTGGAAAGTGGAACTAGAAATAACCCTGAAGACATGCTTATGCAGATTGCTTGAGAGAAGCTCTCTGTAATCTAAATCCATATTTAACAGCAAAATGCTCACCCTCATTGCTTCCCCTCTACCCCTGCCAGAAACTCTAGTGGATACAGGCAACAGGAAACAATGAAGTGGAGAGGAAAGGAGAGGACATGGGTTTTCTTGGTCTATAGCCCTGGATGTTCAGAGCTTTTCAAGCACTAAATTAAACAATACTTCAGCTTTGACTTTCCATGATCTCAGAGCACACTGTCCACATAAGAACCCAAGGCCTTGCAAAACAAAGTTTGGGTGGAAAGGCACTCACTGCCTCCCCCCACCCCCACCAGCCTGCTCACACTGGAAAGCCACAAGTTCTATTTCCTTCATTTCAGACTGAGTTGCAAGTAGAAGCACCCACTCCAGGCCCTGGGGCCTAGTGTTAGCTGACTTAGTCATGTACTAATGATCAGTGGGGGCTCTCTGATTTCAGCAGACACTCCAAGTTCTGCCTTTACCAAGAAAACTCAGCCACCTTGTATTTTAATCCTTCTGTAGAGCAGGACAAAAACTGGGAAGATGTAAGCACCCAGGGCTTATATACAAGTGAGGAACTTCAGGCACAAGTGGAGAAGAAACTGCTCCTCAAAGGTGCCCAGGAATTCAGTGTTAAACCTTGCGTCAAGTCTAGTCTTTTTGAGCCCCAACTTCTGCCCACTTACCCTGTGCTAGAAAGGCCAGCTCCTGAAGCCCATCCCTCTTGTTTCCCAAGAAAACCACAAGTACTTGTCTTCATTCTCAACTCAACTCTCATAACTCTGCTTTGCTATAAATGTGCATGAGAAGCCTACTTATGTGTAAGGTATAGTGCAAGAACAAGAAATCCCCTCCATTTGCTCTCCAAATGGAGTTACCCTTGCACAAAGCTCTCACTGGTGCTCAAAGGCTATCAGCTTGAATCTGCTCTAAAGCTGAAGCCAATAAGCACACCCCATTTACAGGGTTTTAGGGGAAGTGGGCCAATCTCTTTATACGTCTATCAAATCGCTCTATTTTCTGAATCTGACCAAGACTACAAACAAATTAATTAATAAATAAATTTTTGGACCATGCCTGAAATTCCCAGTTGTAGCTTTAAGCAAAGGACACAGCCATTATCGACTCCATCTTTCTTTTTCCCTCAGGAACCAAAGTAGAAGAGGTAGGGCTCACTTCTCGTGTGCCCACAAAAGAGCCAAACGAAGCATCATGAGCGAGCTAAGTGAGTTGAGTTTTACCTGTGACAACTTTGGTAGATTATGGCTGGGGGCTTCAGTAGCCATTGACTCTACGTGTTCCTTTAATCTAGGGTGAGTTGCCAACAACTTCAGGATATCGGGAAAATGTTCCTGAGAATCCCCCGAGACTGATGGTGAAAAGAAACTAAAGAGAAGCTGTGACATAAAACAGAAGACTTCACTACTCAAGTTTCTACAGGTGCTAGGCTAAGGTGAAGGGGGGAGGGATGGGGGACCAGAGAGCACAGCTTGCAAGGCAAAACTCCAATGAGGAAGCCTTGGAGCAGTGTCCCTAGACACACTAAGGAGGGGTCGTTGCATCAACACACATCAGAGGACCCAAGTCTGGTTCCCAGCACACATGTAAGGTGGCTCACAACCACCTGTAGGTATAGCTGACACCTCTGACATCCAGAGGCACCAGTACTAATGTGCAAATACCCACGCACAGATTCAAACACATACACATATCAAGAATGAAATACATCTTTTTAAAAAAAGAGTCACCTAGGAGCTTATGAAAATGTCAGTTCCTGGGTTCCGCTCCTGTCTCCTCAGGTCTGAAGTATGATCTAGGAATCTGGGTTCAAAGAAGGCATGGCAGATGCCTTTGTTACTTAGTCAAGGTTAAGAGCCACCTCTATGGTGCCACCAGTCTACAGAAATACCTTCAATGGGGCTTTAAAATCTATCTGAACCAAAGGGAACATAGAGGTTAAGTCAGAAGAGATGTCTCCTGTGCTTGTTAGTTTTTTTGTCAAGTTGATACAAACTAGGTCATCCTGGGAGGAGGATGCTTAAATTGAGAGAATGTCTGTATCAGATTGCCTGTAGGCAACTTTGTGTGGGTATTTTCTTGATTAACAATTAATGCAGGAGAGACCAGCACACTGCGGGTGGTGCTACCCCTGGACAGGTGCTTCCGGTGTGTATGAGAAAGGGAGCTGAATATGACCCTGAGATGCAAGCCAGTAAGCAGATTCCACTGGGGTCTCTGCTTGAGTTCCTACCTCCAAGTTGCTGTCTTGATTAAGTTCCTGCCTCAACTTCCCTCAGTGACAGACTGTGACCTGAGATGTGTAAGGAAAACAAACTCTCTCTTTCCTAAGCTCCTTTGGGTCATGGTGTTTATCACAGCAATAGAAAAGCAAACTAGGACACCTCAGTTGAAGAATGCAGAGTCAAGTCCACAACAACTCAATGGGCAGAGAAGTCCACAAATCTACACTGGGTGCCTTGCTGCTGTTTTTCCTCTGTCTGTCTGTTTTGATTCCACCATCATAGGCCCTGGATTTTAATCCCTTCAGAGATGGGGACATGAGTAATTGAATGTTAAGAAAGCAGAGCTCAGACTTCCTCTCCCCTTCCAGCCTTTTCCTTGTCATCTCTACAGAAAATGTCACATTAAGTTCAAGTACCCAGGGGCAGACAGGTTCACTTCCAATTGGATACACTGATAAAGGAGAAGGGAGTAGAAAAAAGGGGTCTAGGAGTCAAAGATAAGCATTTGAGTGCACCATTAGCTGTCCACATTCTTGATTCTTGCTTCAGTTCTCCCCTATGCCATTAGAGGTTAGGGACCATATGTTAAGTATGTATGCTTCTATCTATTTATCCATCTGCATGCATGTGTGTGTGTGTGTGTGTGTGTGTGTGTGTGCGTGTGTGTGTG